GAACAATATTAAGAGTGAGTCCATGGGTGTTCCAGGCAGGTGTGTTACATGCTATCTCTTCGATTTAAATGTAACTTGGCGAGTTAAATAGTCTGAAATGTCATCCGTCTCTTCGCCCTACCCCCCAACGGGGTTGCCGCCAGTTTGAGGAGGTGGGGGTGGGCCGAAGAGACGGGTGACTTTTCAGACTACCAGTGAAAAGGGTCTACCCCAAAACTCAAAATGAATAGCTGGGTCATAACAACATTTTTTGCCAAGAGAAGAACTTCAATAACAGGCAAAAGTAGGAAGGAAAATGATGGGAAGTAATTGTGATCCAGTTACGAAAGCCTTCCCCGACCCCTGCCCCCTTCGAATAGAGACAATTGCAGACACGTTTTCAGCTCTCTCGATATATTCATTCTCAAAATCACATTTTTATAGTGGCTGATGAAGATCAGTGGGGATGAAAAACATTTTCCACTTTTGAACTATTTTATTGTAAGAAATACCCCGCAAACTGCGGGGATAAACATTAGGAAAAAACGCATAGCGGAAAAAAAATTCAACTTTTATCTCGACTTTTCGTACGCTACCCTTACATACTATATCTTTAGAAGTAACCGTTGATCGAAGTAACAATAAAATTCAAAGGCAACGGATAAGTGACTCATTGGTAGGAAAATAGAGAAGGTAATGAAATTGAAAGGAGAGAGGAAAGGGGAAAATTTGCACACAGATTAGACATGCAAACTAAAATCAATTAAGATAAGGCTTTTCGTTACTGTTAATGATAGTTTTTAAATCCGTAATAGCAGTGTGTCCTTATGGTGTTTTGACGTATAAGAAATTATTATTTTATTGCTTTTAAAAAAACGGGCTGCTTTCAGCATAGTTAATTGAGTGGAATGGTTATGAAACCCGTCAGACTCTTTTGTTATATGTTTTTGTGGACCTGAAAGTGCACAACGTTCAAAAGAATTCCTATCATTTTGATTGTATTGACCAATAAAAACGTTGCATTAATTTATTCCGTAACAATTTGCCAACAGAAAACAAAGGATTGTGCACTTTCACGGTGCTTTGAACATAAACTGCAGCACTGTTGTTTTTATCACTGATGTTTGCCGCTTTTCATAACCAGTCTCCTCTAATAACTATGCTTTCAGTGTCAAGAACTTTTGTTTCACTGTTTTGACGTTATTCTAATTTTTACAAATTAATGTACACTGTTAACACCCCACGACTTCGACAAAGCTAAGATGTATTTATAGCCTGTTACCTAAAGTAAACACCGAAAGCTTTAAAAATGGTTTTATGAATACGTTAAATTTTAAGTATAAATTAGCAATCTCTTACCTTTATTATTTCACTTTGAATTTGGAAGCGCTTGTTAGAATGCCTGGACATCCTGAATT